TGTGCTTCAAAGTAGCACCATGTTCTTCATATAGAAAGTCTCTTATGTTGTCACTTTCATATACTAGTGGGAATTTTTCGTTATAGAACTTGGCTTGTATATTCCTACGATGGGCTTCCTCAAAATTCCCTAGGTCTTCGTGAGCAAACAATTTGGATGCACACCCACTAGTTTCTTTTGTTGAGCTTTCATACATTTATAACTCTAGTGCATCCGTTGCATGGCAATCCCTACTCCTCATGTTGACATCAATTGATGGGCGTCTCCACAGCCCATTGATTAGCCTCGTTAACATGAGACTTTCTTCCTTTTTTGTCTTCTCCATACAACCTCCATCATCATATTCTATTCCACCCATAGTGCTATATCCGTGGCTGACGCTCATGTATTGCGTGAAAGTTGAAAAAAGTTAGAGATTACTAAAGTATGAAACAATTTCTTGGCTTGTCATCTGTGCAAGATGAGGGCATTCTTGTGTGACGAAAATGGAGCATGACCAAACTATATGATTTTGTAGGGATGAACTTTCTTTAACCATGATATTTTGAGAAGACATGATTGCTTAGTTAGTATGGTTGAAGTATTTCTATTTCTTATGTCAACATGAACTTTTATTTTGAATCATTTGGATCTGAACATTCATGCCACAATAAAGAAAATTACATTGAGAATTATGCTAGGTAGCATTCCAAATCAAAAATTCTGTTTTTACCATTTACCTACTCGAGGACAAGCAGGAATAAAGCATGGGGATGCTTGATACGTCTCCAATGTATCTATAATTTTTGATTGTTCCATGCTATTATATTACCCATTTTGGATGTTTATGGGCTTTACTTTACACTTTTATATCATTTTGGGACTAACCTACTAACCGGAGGCCCAGCCCGAATTGCTGTTTTTTTGCCTATTCCGGTGTTTCGAAGAAAAAGGAATATCAAATGGAGTCCAAACGGAATGAAACCTTCGGGAGCGATCTTTTTGGAACAAACGTGATCCAGGGGACTTGGAGTGGACGTCAAGCAACAAAGGAGGTGGCCACGAGGGTGCCGGGCACGCCCCCTTGAGGTGGGCGCGCCCCCCACCCTCGTGGGCCCCTCGAGCGTCTACCGACCTACTTCTTCCTCCTATATATATCCACGTACCTCGAAAACATCCAGGAGCATCATGGAAAACTATTTCCAGATCCCATCTTGGAGCCTTCGCCGGTGCTCCGCCAGAGGGGGAATCGACCATGGAGGGCCTCTACATCATCTCCAAGGCCTCTCCGATGAGTTGTGATTAGTTTACCACAGACCTTCGGTTCCATAGTTATTAGCTAGATGGCTTCTTCTCTGTCTTTGAATCTCAATACAAAGTTCTCCTCGATCTTCTTCGAGATCTATTCGATGTAACTCTTTTTGCGGTGTGTTTGTCGAGATCTGATGAATTGTGGGTTTATGATCAAGTTTATCTGAGAAATATTTGAATCTTCTCTGAATTCTTTTATGTGTGTTTAAGTTATCTTTGCAAGTATCTTCGAATTATCAGTTTGGTTTGGCCTACTAGATTGATCTTTCTTGCAATGGGAGAAGTGCTTAGCTTTGGGTTCAATCTTGCGGTGTCCTTTCCAAGTGACAGCAGGGGCAGCAAGGCACATATTGTATTGTTGCCATCGAGGATAAAAATATGGGGTTTATATCATATTGCATGAGTTTATCCCTCTACATCATGTCATCTTTCTTAATGCGTTACTCTGTTCTTTATGAACTTAATACTCTAGATGCAGGCAGGAGTCGGTCGATGTGTGGAGTAATAGTAGTAGATGCAGGCAGGAGTCGGTCTACTTGTCATGGACGTGATGCCTATATACATGATCATGCCTAGATAATCTCATAACTATTCGCTTTTCTATCAATTGCTCGACAATAATTTGTTCACCCACCGTAATACTTATGCTATCTTGAGAGAAGCCACTAGTGAAACCTATGGCCCCCGGGTCTATCTTTTATCATATAAGTTTACCATCTACTTTTATTTGCATCTTTTATTTTCCAATCTATATCATAAAAATACCAAAAATATTTATCTTATCATATTATCTCTATCAGATCTCACTTTCGCAAGTGGCTGTGAAGGGATTGACAACCCCTTTATTGCGTTGGTTGCGAGGTTCTTGTTTATTTGTGTAGGTGCGTGGAACTTTTGAGGAGCCTCCTACTGGATTGATACTTTGGTTCTCAAAAACTGAGGGAAATACTTACGCGACTTTGCTGCATCACCCTTTCCTCTTCAAGGAAAACCAACACAAGCTCAAGACGTAGCAAGCATCATGAAATTGATGATGGAGGATGGTTGATGATGACGACGACGACGAATCCCGCTCTGCGGAGCCCCGAATGGACTCCAGATCAGCCCTCCCGAGAGAGATTAGGGCTTGGCGGCGGCTCCGTATCGTAAAAGGCGATAAAACTTTCTCTCTGATTTTTTTCTCCGCGAAAGCAAATAAATGGAGTTGGAGTTGAGGTCAGTGGACGTCCAAGGGGCCCACGAGGCAGGAGGGGGCGCGCCCCCAACCCTCGTGGACAGGGCGTGGGCCCCCTGACGCTAATTCTTTCACCAGTATTTTTTATTAATTCTGAAAAGTTGCTCCGTGGATTTTCAGGTCATTCCGAGAATTTTTATTTCTGCACAAAGATAACACCATGGCAGTTCTGCTGAAAACAACGTCAGTCCGGGTTAGTTTCATTCAAATCATGCAAGTTAGAGTCCAAAACAAGGGCAAAAGTGTTTGGAAAAGTAGATACGACGGAGACGTATCATCCGTGCTGATCGAATTCTTATGATGGTGTACATGATGACTAGGTTGGTTACAATGGGAGTATCATAGGTAGTATCATGCATGCCAACTAGGCATTTTTGCTAAAGTGGCACACAATTAAATGAGGAAAGAGAGGATTGAGTATCATGATATGATATTGTATCATATAAAATGATATACTAGTATGTGTCATGCATGGTAATAAATGAGATCATCATGATACCAGCCTATTGCACTATGCACCATGGAGGTAGTATCATGATACTCCCGCCTGCGACCAGCATAAGCCGAGGCCACCCCTTTCCTTAGGGGTTGCAACAATTTGCCACTTTGATAGGGTAGTGACCACTAGCAACTGTGCTAGAACCTAGGCATGACAAATCTTATTGATTATTTTTACGACCCATGGTAGAGGTTTAGGAGACATGACATGGAAGATGGGAACTGCCATAGGATAGTCTGAACTAGGATAAGACGACCACTTTATGCCTGTATGACGACCCTCAAAGAGGCGAGCGTATCTCTAATTGGGTCAAGCAAGTGTTGGAAGTTATATTTCTTTGCCTTCTTGCAACTACATGGAAGGCTTACATACTTGGTAAGAGATCAAACTGGTTGTTAAGTAAATTGCAACATTCTTGGACAATGTAGTGAGTGTGAAAGATTGATCTCTTCTCAAGATTGCAACCCAACAGAGAGGTGCCTTTGAAATTTGAAAAAGCTTAACTTATTATTTACAAATAAATAAACACACACTTTATTTGCAACTATCTTACCAACCAAATGTATTAAATAACATATTACACATATCATGCAAATAAGTACTCATAGAAAGAAGCATCTATATTTGTCTTAGTGGAATCACAAGGCAATGAAAAATACTGAAGGAAGCCACACATCCTAACTGCCATCGATACTGTAAGTGCCCACTGGAACATATAAGGCGTCATCATTGCATGTTGTCAAAGTGTCATGGATCCATCACCAAAAATAGAACTCTGGTTTGATCACCTTGCACTTCATGTCATACAAATTTTATTTTGGGTACCTACAAGCAGCGAGATCCACACTAGAATGAGCAAAAACAAGAAAATAGGTGCACTAACACATAGCAATTCACTGTAATTGCTCAATCCATTGCTTGTCACCTATGAATAGCCAAACGATGGAGTAGGAATGGATGTTAAGTAGGTTTAACTCATTAAAGATATATAAACAAGACTTAGTTTTAAAATATTTCAAGCCATGTATTAGTATTCCTACATGGTTATACTCCATTTACCAATAAGAAAATGAGTGACCAGTGGTACACATGATTTTTTTTAGCAGATGAAACAATAGATAAAAATATATTCAAAATGACTTTGAATAGCCAAAAATTCACACATGAGACCCCTCCATGAGATTTATACACAATATCAACATAATTTTATTTTTTTCATGGAGATATACCATCGCCTTTCACCTTTTCTTATACCATTTTATTACCAACAAGTCTTGTTCTAATGTATCGATTAGTACCACCGTAGTAGCCTAACAATATAACTGAACACACTAAATTCATATATGGTTTCATATAGGTCCTTGTGATGCATATGTTGGAACACAATTATTACATATAGCCAGCAGATTTAAATGCATAACATGATTATGTTATGTCTTGTCGAGGATAATAATGATAAACAATCATGTGTGCACAATTCTTAAGAAACTTTTAGCTATGCAAAGTCATTGCAAGACTATACATAAACATATTCATGGTTGTTACCAAATTTGATATGAGTCAACTTAGTAGAGTGAATTACTTTCCAAAGAGTGTATAATTCGTTCGTCGGAAATGAATTTTCAACCACGTGCACACAAATACTAGGAATATTCACATTTACCATATCTTAGTTGTCTAAGGTATGAACAAGGAACTTTTTGTATTGATTGCGCATAACAACAAAAATATGAATAGAACAATTGGATGGTAGATCACGTTAAAAATTTCTAAGTTTTCTAGCAACCTCAAGCATCGGGTTTCACCTACAAACATGATGCAAATTTGTCTATTTCTGGTTGACACTCTAAATACTATGTGTAGTGGCATCACTAGGTGGGATTGATATAGTGTTGTTACAATATTGCTAAGAGGGAATGAGATACATGTTAATTGCGTTGTGTACCTTTATATTTTTTTTAGATCAACATGCATGTCTCATGCTCTTAAGTCATGATAGTGTTCAATAGTTGCCTTGACACCCTCCTAACATTCAAATACATTGAAAAGTATTAGCATATTCATATAATTAAAGAGTAAATACCAAGAAAGAAAATTAAACCCAACAAATTGTACCGAAGTAACAACCTGGAGAGAGATGATTGGTTTGTAACCAAGTTCCTGAATAGCTTTGTTGCAACTGAATGTTCGATTCAACGTAAGATACTTAATATTTGTGAGTGTTAGCATACGAGGTTGACACATTCTGTAGTGAGAGAATAGTTTATTGTAGCCCCACTCTAGCACACATGCTATTGGCACCAGAAGATAGGAAGGTATTCTTATTTTGGTCCCTCTGCATCATAATATGATAAGTTAGATATATAATTATTACAATATGTGCGTGATAAAAAATAGGTATCTTCCTCTCTAGCAGGAAACTACATCAATCAACCTTACCTAAATTGTATATAACTTATTAAACCTAAACTATGAGGTATGATATATAGATAAAACTATGGTTTATATACTAAGGGCTTGTGTTATTTACTGAAAAATGCAAACCAATATGCATAGTAGAAACAACTCATAATAAATAATTTCCGAGGACAACCTTTCATTTATGATGTATTCAGTCTTTTATACAAGGTGAATCGCATCGATAATAAGTGTAAAAAGCAAGGAACCAAGGTGTTTTATGGGTAAAATAAAACACACTACATGCTAATAATCCTAGTTAGATTAAATATCCACAAAGTTTTCTGTAGACTAGTGCACATATAGGAACATGTACATTCACATGTGAAGGACAATGCACCTTGAGACCAATGTGAACTTTTAAATTTAAACCACATTCATGTTTTCCAATAATATGGAATTCCTTGCAAAATTTCATGGCACAAATTTTGCGGCTCGGAGAGTACATGAATGTACCAACAAATACAAGTGGGTTTGCCTTTTTGTTCAGAAAGAAGATAAAATTTGAAGTTAGGAAATGTACCAAATTTTGATTCTTTAAAGATTAAAGAAAGGTCACCTTTTGTATCCAAGTTCTTCCAAAACCATATAATTAAAGTCCCATAAATTCATTGGCTCTGTATTCGTTATAAAGTAAGCCTAGGAAAGATAAATGATGTTACCAACATCATAATGATAATCATTAAATAATTTGGAAGTTATAAAATACACACTTTGCCTCCAATTCTCCTTGCACCCTCTTTTGTAGAGAGATTTCTCTCAGCACAAATGTGACCGTGCACCACGTTCTCAACATACACAAAATCATCATCATTCTTGCCATCACCAATAATGAACTACAAGAATGTACAATAGGTTAGGCACTTCAAAGTTGATGGCAACAAGTTCCATTTTTAATTGAGTTGCTTATTCAAGGATATACCATAGTATGATATAGATGCATCAATATTTAGCACATGCCACAAGTTCACAAGTTTGGTTGGTTAGCTCTAGAGTTGGAGTTGGTGCACACGGTCATACTTTATTGGGACATTTACATGTATGCCAAATTTGCCCCTAAAAAGCATTTTAGGTCACTAGAATGCCCTTTCGTCTGGCCAAAGTTGTTTGGCCATTACTTTGAAAATTCATATGAACTCAAAAGAATGCAAATAAGATACCAAAATGTTTATAAAAATATCACCTATACTCTCATGTCATTTACGTTCATCACCTATAAAACATTTATTTGCATTAACCCTAATTTTTTTAGTGTTATAAACCCCAAAAAGCTTTAAACAGTGCTTTTGTCATGAATGCAAATTATATGCACATATAGTTGATGCTTCTCTGAACATTTTGATATGATATTTGCATTTTTCTAAGTAAGTATGAATTTGTTATGAATTTTCAAAGTAACTGTCAAATGGCTTTGACCAGGTGGAAGGGCATTCGGGCGACCTAAAATGCTTTTTTAGGGGAAAATTTGAGCACATCAAAAAATTAGGGGTAAATTTGAGCTGCGGGTTTGAGTTAGAGGCACAAATGTAAATGTCCCTTTATTGGTTTAACTTCATATTTCCATGGAAAGTAATAACCAATGTTGCCTTTTTGGAGCCGCACCCGTGTCCAACACATTAATAACATGGGAGGGTGCAAGAAACAACCTAATAATTCAATACAATAAACTTATGAGAAAAAAACATATCTGATTCGAAACACTGCTATTTTATGATGAATATATGTGATTACCATAATCGGCTATATAAATCCTGGATCTAGCATTAGCCCAATATTTCAAATGTGTGAATGTTCTCATTATCTTATTATATCATATCACATTTCACATCTTAATAAAGTCAACTTGATACTCTTAATTATCTTAGCAAAGGTCAATGGAGGTCTATTTGGTTATCATACAATCATTATTTAACTGAATTAATTCATCACGAAGAGTGCGATGATCCATAATGTAAATATATAAAATCATCGCAAAATGTGATCACTGCGACATCA